GCACTCTGCAGTATACTCTGCCTTCTTGTACTTAGCCAAGTCTCACTCGTTCAGTTGCGGTTTTGTGAAATTCAGTAATAATTGTCAGTAGAAGCTGTTCAGTAAATTAAGGTTATTGTGGTTGAACATTGAAGTCAAATAGGTCTGAAGAAGTAGCAGCTTCATTACTTGATTTTTCAGTTATAATCAAAGATAGTAAAGAACGACTAATATTGTGGAAAAGTTAGAAGTCTGAGCTTTCCAGCAATACATACACTTTGCTTGTATTGTGCCAAGTAAATAAGTGTTAGATATTGCTGAGGTAGTACCAGACTTTTAACTTCTCTTTTTATATTTCTTTAACTGATTCATCATTTTCTGTAGTTCTTCTAGCAATATGTAGACTTTGAAAAATGGGCCGAAACTGTAATGGATCAGAAAGAGATGTGCATCATATTTGTAAAAAAAAAAAAAAAAAATCATGTTTAAAATTCACTTTCTATAGTTCTCAAATCACTTGAGGAAGATGTGTTAAATTGGTTCACGTTCTATACTGTGAATTTTTCCTTCTTAATGTTGATATGAAACCCTATAGTACGTATATTATTAAGGAGCTTCCAAATGTTTCCAGTATCAGAGCTCTGCTGTGTATCCTATTGTGTATGGTTATATGGCCATAAAGGAAGTTAACCTAAAATGGTAATTACAATTAGAAATGCACATACCTCCCCTGTTTTTAGAGACTTCTGCAATGCCTACTACTGATAATTTAAAGAACAAGATTCAATTTCTAAGGCCCTACTACAGTTTCTCAACCAATTTCTGGTTTTAATTTTCCTTTCTTTATTTGTGCAGTGGACAACAAATTGTCCTTATACATAATAGTTTAGCAATTTTAAACTCTGTACTGAAAATGATTGAAGAAATTGAGACATAGCATGAGTAAAGAAGATCTTTTGCAATACACTGAGCTTCTGGTGGATAGTTTTCAGCTCCATTTACAGACGTTCTCATGGCTACACTGATTTTTTTTTTTCCCCTGTTATGTCCAAGTAAGGTGTTAGTCCAGCTACTTCAGAACCCGTGCTGGTATGGTAACGAAATGCTAGCAAACATTTGTGGTTTTCCTGTTATATCTGGAATACTTGTGCCAGATGTACCAGAAAAATAGTGGAACTTACTTTGTTCTAATTAGTGGTGCATCAGACTTTTCATCAGATATGTTCTCAGACAAGAATTTGTGAGTGCGCATATTGGTTTTGATACAGTGATTTAACATTCTGCAAAATGTGTAGATAATCTCATTTACTATTAATTTATTCAAAATACCTTGCCATTTACATGTCCTAAATTTTACTAAATTGTTTACCTAGAATGATTATTTCCAGTGTAAACTATCACAAAGCATCTAAATTCCATTAATTTTAAGGTAAAACAAGCATGCTGCCATAATAGTGAATAAATGAACCAATGGATGTATGACTGAACTAGCTTACTGATTTTCAGTGTGACAATATCGTTTAAATCCTTCTTACTGTTTTCAGCATGGAAATCAGAATCTATTCTGCTAACCTTCTGAGCTTCTAAATTTGGTGTCATGCAAGGGCGTGTTTAAAAATTAGCATTTAAAAAGAAACCCACTTGCTTTAAGTTTAAGCTGACACTGTTCCTTTCCTCTGTGGAAATGAAATTTATTAATCATAATAAAACCATCATATTCTGAAGGTAGAGGTCACCCTGAGGAGAAAAAAAAAAAAAAAAGTCTATTAATCACAGAGGAATTTCAATGTTTTTTTTTTCCCCAGATAATATCTGAGCATGTATTCTCTCTCCTTTGGAAATATATTCTTCCATGTTCGTGCTTACATATGTCAAGTGTATTTAGTAGGATGCAAGAATGAGAATTTTGCAATTAATTTTATGTGCTTTATTTTCTTTTACAGCAAGTTTGGAAGAATGCTTTTTACATTTTATTTAATTTTATGTTTTCGTTACACATGTTTGTTCAGGTGGAGCTTCAATATCATATAAAAAAAAAGGAAGAAGTGTTTCTTGCTTTAACAAGAATATAAGCATTGCTAATTCTGAAATATCATTTTTATTTTAATATCACAGTATAAACTTCAGTATTGTCACAACACACATGTAAAACATTCTTTTTAAGGAAGGAGGATTAATGTAGGCCACAGTTTTCTTGTTAGGATTACATCACAACTTCTTAATTTTAAGGAAGAAACATGGTTTACATAACAGGATAAATATATAATGTAAAGTGCTGACAATAAGTTATCACTACTTTGGCAAAAGAGTAATGAAAATGTACTCAGAAGTAAACACTGCATTGAAACAGTAATTTTTTCTTTCTTTTCAAATTGCTTAATGTGTTTGTTTATCCATAATTTCCTCTAAATTGTCCAGATTTCTGTAAAATATGATGTAATACTACTAGAAACATGTTTTATGACATCAGTGTTGTAAACTTGCTAGTTACTTCCATAGTTGGCTTAAATCTACTAATAATTTACTGAAGCCCAAGGCCACTCTGTATTCAGGCTTGTTCTTTCCTTGCAAGTGGCCATTGCATTTAGGGTGTTCCATCTTCTGCTGTGGGTGACCCATTAGACTTTCATTTTATTGGGACACTGTGACACAGTCAAGGATCCTGCTGGCATGGGATGCAGTATGGAGTGTAAATGCACCCCTGCAGCAGGAAATGGTTCAAGGCAGTGAGGGAAAACAGCTCACAGATTAAGTCCCAGTGTGGTTAATGTTTTACACTAGACCAAAACAAATTTAATTCTTACAGATGTAAATTTACAGTCCTTGTTCAGTATTATAGTAATACTAGTTACTTAGAAAAAAATACATTTGAAAATATACTGATTCCCATTACTTTAAAAATAATAGTTATGATATTAAAGTTTGTATGGTAATAATACATGCAATTCCTCCTCCCTGTTACTAGGGATATGAAGGAAATTTATAGTGCTGGAAAGAAGTGTAGCTTTAAATTAACAATTTTCCATTTCTAGTTGTTTTCTTATTAATTGAATGAGATTTTGCTTCAGAGAATTAAAATTATAATGATGTTTAAAATGGATTTTCAGACAAAAAATGGTCATACAAAGGAAAATAAGGTCTCTTCAGTGTAGATGAACAAGACATACAAGGTTCTATTATCGTTACAATCAAAGCTAAATATTTTAAATCTCTAAATATCATAATGTTTGCATCCTAATGAGGAGAGTTAGCAAGGATGAGGTTTAAGGTAGTTCTTCCAGGTAAAGAGGCCCCAGAGTATGGGGCCAGTGTCAAACTTGTTCCAAGACTTTTATGCCCCGTTCCCAACTCAAAGGACCACCAAGTGTTATTTGCCCAACATAGGCTGTGAGCTTTTGGTTCGGGTTTGGGTTTTTTTGTTTTGTTTTGTTTAATTTCTTTATTTTTATTTGGTTTTAGTGGGAACTGCCTGGTTTCTTTGTTGTTAGCTGTCTTGGATAATCTCCAAAGACAGGTATTCACACATACCAAGTATTTAAATGGAATTGGCACATAAATTTAATCCTTCACTCATTAATATATTGGATGCAAAAGAGGAATTAATGTTTTATACAAGTATTTTATGCATATTTTCCTGAGTTTAAGACCATGAGATAAAAGGTGATTGCCTAACACACTCCTTCCACTGGATATTCATGTATATCTTTGATAGCTATGAGAACTTCTCTCCCCGAATCTAAAGTAAACATACCTGTGGGGTGATATAGAGCCCACATTCATGAGCTTGTGGTACTTTTGTAGCTTTAATAAATTCCTTTTTAATGTATTATCCCTTAATATAGAGTTGGATTTACTAAGTGAACAAGACAGCACAATTGAGGGCATTCAGCTACTATGGGTGTACTTTGTCCTTGGCAATTTCTGCTCCTTCTTTGAAGGTGTCACTTTGTAGGTGGGAACATCTAGTTCAGATAATTTGGACCTCTTCTCTACCTCACATATGGGACCCACAGCAGTGGTTGGTGGAGGATTGCGTATGCCATGGAAACATTTGTCTATCAGCTTTCCCTCAGCTGGTTATCTAGGAATCAGCTAATCACATACTACTTGTGGAGGAGCAAATACATGATAATAAAATAAGACAACTGTCCTCCTTACAAAAAACAGTAAGTTTGTATTTGTAACTGAAAAAATTAGGTACTTACACAGAATGAGACCAGTCTGGGGTTACTGTTCACATAAGCCTAAGAAATAATTTTTTTTTTTTGAGAGATATCAGGAGTATTATTAAAACTTAACTTCTTTACTATATTAGCCCTCATATGCAAGACACGACTATAATTTCCAAATTGCTTTTGTTGTTATATGTGACACCTGAGGTCAAACGGATATTCTCTGATTATGGAAAAAACTGTTAAGACTCATTCAGTGAAACCTGTTCCTAGCTGACAAATCCATCTCACTGATGGTAACTGCGTTCAGAGTCGAACTGAAGCAAAGCTCTGTGTTTCAAGGTGAAGAGGAGGACTGGGCCAGCAAACCGACCAGGTGTACATGTAAAGAAGCTTTGAAGTGGTTTCAACTATAAGGATTTTGTGTGGAGAGCAAAATATCAAAAATCTGATTTTCACACCACTGTCTGCCTGGTTGTAGCAGGAACATGGCCTGAAAATTGAGACTTCAGCTGTGAGAGTATCATGGGTCTAGGATGATACTTTGTCTCTTCTATAGAAAGACCAGGAATGTTCAATGAGCACATTTCTTGAAACCAAGTCCCTGCCATTCTTCAACAGCCACTCTCCTTAGCCTTATGCTGATTTTTGATAGTCTAGTAAAGCTAATTAAACATTCATTGTCATTAACATTTCTCAAAGGATATTGCTTTTGAAACCGCAAAGTGAGTGTATTTGAAATGAATTTGGATAGAACGGAATATTTATTTACAATCATTTAGTTAATATTGGTAATATCTAGGTTTAACATTTTTTTTTCATTAATCTTCAACTGTATTTTCTTTCCAG